TGGCTTCATACGATTTGCATGACACGAAGAAGCAACTTTTTTATTGGTGTTCGTGATCCGGTGACAATTTCTCAACAATTCTGTATGGACCCAACCAATAATGCATTAACTTTTTGGATAGCCCTTTGCTAGTTCTCGGGGTATAAACCCAAACACGTTGTTCAACTTCAAAAACAGGTTCTTTTGTCTTTTGATCGTAATAATCCTTCATTTTTTGTTGTGCACGTGGTAAATTTTGTCTGGCTAAATTTTGAGCCAATTCGACTTTTTCGACAACACGTTTTCGATAGTCAAGGACCGAAGTACTCAAATCATCAGCCACAGGAGGCAAATACTTAACGTCAATTGGCAAGCGTGGCTCTCGCCCATAAAGAATGTAAAAAAGAGAATCCCCAATTGCATCTAAAACAGAAGTCCTATGCACAAACAAAACAAGCGGTATGAACTCGTCCCAATCTTTCCGGTTTTTGGAACGTACATCGATAAAGACTGACACAAGGTAGAATTAAACCTTTCTACAAGACCATCGGTCTGTGGGTGATAACTAGAAGTATTGACCTTTTGAATTTGAAATATCTTACAAACCTCTGCAGCGACCTCAGATAAAAAGTTAGTTCCCCTGTCAGAGAGCAACACACGTGGTGCCCCATGTCTAGAAATAATTTCATCAATTAAAAGACGTGCAATAACAGTTGCTTCTACACTAAGCACTGGGAATGCTTCGACCCAAAGAGTTGAATAATCACTAAAATCTACAATATACCTACTGCCTTTACTAGAAGGTGGAAAAGGACCTAAAACTTCAACAGCCACTCTGTCAAATGCACCCTCGACTGGAATAGGAAGTAAAGGTGCCTTTTTCGAATTTCGTGGAGACTTCCTCATTGAACACTCAACGCAAGACTTAACCCAGTGTTGTACATCTTTAAACATACCTTTCCACCAATATCTTTGCTTACGTTTAGCAATATGATCATGTACATTAGAGAGAGAATTTCAAACGCAATGCAGCTGGGACAACAAGCTGAGAAAAGGATTCAGGATTCACCAGCATTACGTCTTCGATTAAAATTAATGTGATAAAGGAAACCATCTTGACCAATATAAAAATTATCGCTTGTGAGTAAAATCCTTGCGTGCATCTTTATCGTTAGTAGGTAGGATATCATTCTCTAGAAAATCAATCATTGCAGCTGGTTCAGGATCTCGTCTTTGCATTTCTTGAGTGTGGAGCGTTTGAGGTTCTTCTTTCATGAGCGAACTTATTTCACAAGAATCATATGGACGTCTAGACAAACAATCAGCATTACCATGGTTTCTACCAGGGCGATGAACAATATTAGTCATATTGTTGCAAAATTAAGGCCCATCTTGCAAGACGACCAGAAGCATTCATTAACCAACGAAGAGAACTATGATCAGTAACAACAGTAAACTTATGATTATGTAAATATGGCGGAAATTTCTTAATACCCTCAACTAATGCGAGAACTTCTCTTTCTGTGGTACTATAATTTTGTAGATGAGCATTTAGTCCATTTGGAGGAAGATAGCTTTCCAATGCCTTTAGTTGCTGATGCGCTAGATTCTTTAGCTGGTGCAAGCGTGTTTTCGACGTTGATCTCAAAAGTGATTTTTGGCAAATACAAATGCAGAAGGATTCGAAACAGAAGACAGCCTTTGCTACGCACAATGGCTTTTACGAATTTCTGACAATGCCATTTGGATTAGTGAATTCAGGAGCCAGTTTCCAAAGACTTATGGGTCATATTTTGAGAGGTTTAGAATACCGTTTTGCTTTGATTTACATCGATGATATAATCATTTTCTCCAAGTTTGTAGATGAGCACTTAGTCCATTTAGAGGAAGTTTTTAGAAGGTTGCGTGACGCCAACCTTCTAAACTTGCTCCTGAATTCACTAATCCAAATGGCATTGTCAGAAATTCGTAAAAGCCATTGTGCGTAGCAAAGGCTGTCTTCTGTTTCGAATCCTTCTGCATTTGTATTTGCCAAAAATCACTTTTGAGATCCAACGTCGAAAACACGCTTGCACCAGCTAAAGAATCTAGCGCATCAGCAACTAAAGGCATTGGAAAGCTATCTACTTTAGTGACTTTATTAACTTTACGAAAATCAATGCAAAATCTATATGACCCATCCTTCTTTTTTGCCAAAACAACTGGAGAGCTCCAAGGAGAGACAGACTCTTGAATTATTCCTTTTTCAAGCATTTCGTCCTCTTGACGGTCAATCTCTTTCTTAACAACAGGAGATACTCTATACGGCGTTTGTTTAATAGTGCCGTGTGATATGGCCAAACACGCCGCATGAGAAACAACCTGGCGGCAGGTACAAGAGTGTAAAAGAGTTTATCTTCCCACAGACTTCTGCAGAGACTTAGAAATACCGTCTTGTGGCTAAGCATATTTTCTTGAAAAGAAGCAAGTTTAACCTTCTTATTTAGGGGCATCAAAAACGTAGTGTAAGGAAAATCTATGATATACCACAGAAAAATCGACGTTTGCGTGGGAACAAGGGTCGACTTCCCAAAGCCAAAGAAATAGCCGAGACCGATGAGGGAGACGGGAGCCGACCGGCCCAACTGGCGGGCTCCCCTTCCAGTTACACCAGGAATGATCAGATCTGACGGAGACTCGTGCGTTTTAACCGAAGTTTAAACAGTGCCAGAAAGCGAAATAATTGGAAATAGATTACCACGAAGGCAACGCACATATACCCCATGTGATAGCTTTAAGTCGAAAATGGAAAAAAGAAATAAAGGGGGAAAGGGGGAGACACCAACCAAGCCGATCCAGGAACCCAGTCACAGACAGAGTATCGGGTATAATTTAGAAGACCCGCCCCAGATTGACCGGACTGATAGCAGGAGCAGAAGACCGAAAGTCATGAAATAACAACACATTCCTCGAAGCGAGTAAAACAACACACAAGAAAAAACCAACCAAAACAAAGCGATGGGCCGATTTGCATGACGCGAGGTATAGTCGAGATGAACCAGCTTATATAACTAGAAGCCCATAAAACTAACAACAAATGGCAAACGCCGAATAAATCTGGAACGTAGAAAACAGCCCAGGCAGCTAAGCCATAGAACCGCGGATGACTAATTCCAAATAACAGGATGAAAGCGGCCGTCTTCCGTTTAAGAGCCGCCAAGTGTGTACATCGCGCACTGACATTTGTAAACAAAACAGAACAGAGATGCCATTATCATGAATTCTAAATTTGAACCAGAAAACTCGATGATAAAAGCACGTGCCGTGAGTACTGGCAATGGAAGCTTAACACTTTAACATCGCTTAAAAATGCCAAGACAATAAAAGACGAGAAAACAAAAGGGCCCGAGGGAATAAATTAGAAAAACCTAATGGTTTAACTTCTATAACATTGACGAACAAACAAAGAAATAGAGAAGAAAATTTCCGAATACTGGAACTAGTTGCGGAAAAGAAAACGTAAGCAACAACGAACGTGAATAAAAACGCGACAAACTACAGGATATACGAAGGAGCACGCATACAGAAAAAAGACGCATCGCAAAGTATAGAAAATGTGAAATACAAGACCAAAATGACGCGCCGCACATGAGGACAAAAGAAGCAACACACCATGAAAAACGATCCCAAAAGGAAGGAGCGAAATACTGAACAAATAAGAGCAGAGGATGCCAAATACTAGACTGAAAGTGACACACACTACGAAAACTAAATTAGGAGCAGAAAATACCATAAACAAACCAGCCTGAGAGGGATACGCGCTATAAAGGCTAAGGAAACCTAAGAGCGACACCCGCGACGAAAATAAAAAATGAAGGCAAAGCACGTTATGAAAACTAGTCTGAAAACGTCTAAAGCTAGAAATGCCGCTAACCTTAAGGCGACACACGCCATGAAAACAACTTGAAGGTGGTACTTGCCATGGACACAAGTTGTAAGCGACACTCGCTATGAACACTAAATAGAGAGCAAAATATGAAAGACATCATGAAACTAGAGAGAAAGCGACACACGCCAGGAACGGCTAACTGGAAGGCGACACACGCCGTTGAAACAACCTAAAGGCGACAAACGCCGTGAAAACAATCTAAAGGCGACACTCGCCATGAAAACAACCTGAAGGCGAAACACACCATGAAAACAACCTAAAGGCGACACACGCCGTGAAAACAACCTGAAGGCGACACACGCCATGAAAACAACTTATAAGCGACACACGTTAGAAATGGCTAACTGGAAGGCGACACACGCCCTGAAAACAACTTGAAGGCGACACACGCTATAAACACAAAATGGAGAGCAAAGTACGAAAGACATCATGAAACTAGTGAAAGCGACTCACGCCAGAAAAGGCTAACTGGAGGGCGACACACGCCGAGAAAAACCAACGTAAAGGCGACACATGCCATAACAACTGAAAGCGACGGAAGCTATGAAACAACTCGAAGCGACACACGCTATGAAAATGAAATGGAAAATGATACCCGCCATGAAATCCAGTCTGAAAGCGACTCACGCTATAAAAGGTAACTAGAAGGAGGTATCGCAGCTGCTCCTGTGTCAAGGAGTGCACGATAACTATTTCCTTTTATTGTTACACTTACACTAAAATTGTCACTCTCGAAAGGATGAATAGAATCAGTTTTACTAGATGTGGCAGGAAAAGAAACCCTGTCAGTCACGTCAGTCACGTCAGTCACATATGCCCTTGTCTCTGAGCTACTTGCGACGGATAAGCCACGACGACACTCACCACAAACATTATTTTTAGCCCCAACGATATTTAGTTCCAACTTTTCTTCATTTTTAGACTCAGGCGCCAGCCAACTGCTGATCTTTATTAACTTCTTCTATACTGACTTCTCGAGATAAATTTTCACTTGAAGACTTCTCATAAATGACTTCACTTTTAAGAGAAAACAGAGGTACATTTGGCGAATGAACATTTTCGTTTTCATTTGGCGACAACCCGGCGATTACACTATCAAATTTTGTTATGACCTGAGAAAGACACTTAATAACTCCAAACAAATTTTTTCTTTAGGGACATTTTGAGGCTGGCTAATTTGAGAACACCCATCTTGACATGTTACGGTAACTTGAGGTTTAAACATTGTAAAGTCTGACGAGATAACAGGCTCACAGTGATTAGACAAAACATGACTAAACTCTTGAACATTCTTTTTAGTCACATTCTCGGCCGAATTTCCAGAGTTACTGAAAGCACATTTATCAGAACTAGATCCGACGGAAGAATGGTTATTACTTGTAGAATTTTGAAGCGCCCCCATCACGGGTTCACTACCACACACGCTAGGGGCGCCAGCCAGTTTAACTGAGCGCCCATTTTTCCCTGGTGAAAAGCATTCTGCATATTGTTTCTCCGATACAGGCCTCTAAAGTTGGGTTTCGAACTTCCATAACTGCCCAATTTAGGATTTCTACTGAAAACGCTGCCCCCATAACAAAAACGATTAATTTTGCCCCATCGAAATGTGCGATTAATACGACGATTTCCATTATTTTGGACATCTGTACTCCAAACATTAAATTCGTCTTCGACTGATTGTTTGATTTCCTCTTCTGAGGGGTTAGACTGTAATTCTTCAAAATTCTCGACTTCTTGACCATCACTCGATTTACGGCTAAGAGTTACTAACTCTTTTAGTTTTGCAATGTTCAATGCAGACTCGAAATCAAAAGGTTGTTTTAAAATAACACCAAAATAACTGGTTTTCCACTAAAACAACGAGCTCTCCACCAAAATATCGGGTTAACCACCAAAATATGTGGGGGTGTGTTCGAGCAACTCGCTCGCTACACGATGAGGTACCAGGAATCTGATTTACATCTTGGCCTTTATTCTTCCTAACCTTCTTTTAACTTCTACTTACTCTACTTCTCCTACAGTCTTCTCTACTTCTGCTACCCCCCAGTTCAAGTATAGTAGCGGTTTTAATAGCCAAAGCTGGACATGTTTGGGTTAGCTGACCGGAAGAGTTCCTATTGTATATCTTATCGTTAACACTTCAACAGGTTTGCTGTTGTTAGGGAACAGATTAGCCTACGCACAGCCGCAACTGACAAGTACCAAATAACGAAGGTCAGCTCTAACACCACAAACACGACCACCTGTAAAAAACTAACATCTGAAAATGCCAAGCGAATAACATTCCTAATGTGGCAATAAGTAAATTCACGAGCAAAGCATAAATTCAAGTACAAGTAAAAACAAAAGATCAAAACAGGAAAACAGTACGTGGACAAAAACAAGACTTAATGAAACGAAAACTAAACTTAAAAGATAAGATAGATCCGTCTTAAAAATAACTTTCAAAATACTTCACAACAATAGCACGGCATTATGTATGGGTGATTGTTTAGACCACAATTGTCGTACTGCAGCTATGGTGTCCTTTCCGTTCGCGTCCGTGTTGTTAGCCAAATTTCCTGTGTACCTGCATCTAAATCGTTGACAAAGAAATTTATCGGGCTTCTCTTCCTCCTAATATTCCCTTTTGTTTTATGTATCACCCCAGTGCACCCAGGCTCCTTTGAAGTCCTCTTGGTAGCAAAATATAAGCATTTGGATAAGAGTTAAAAATAACAAAGGAAAACTAACCTCCTATAAAATTCATTTACCTTTTGAAGTGTTGAATTTCTGCGTCGTTTCTTGACTACCCTTAAGAGATTAGAGCGTCTTTTCAGTTAACCTATCTTTACTTCTGTACTGTATAATTGCCCGCGCAGGGATTTCGCCCAGAAGGCGAAATCCCAAGGAGGCACTCTAGTAACTAGCGCGCATATTAAGGAAAGTAGTTACTGTTGAAATAACAGTCATACGGTCAATATAGAAAAAAATCTCGATTTGCTTGAACAGGGGCCGCGAGGAATCGGTAGGTAATGATGACGTTTCTGTTGTTTGCGTCCGCAAGTACGAAATGGTTAGGATGACGTGAAACACAAAAAATCCCGAAGGGACCGCTTACAGTAGGTAGATTTTGTGACATTAATTGTGCAGTCATACTTCGATACTCTTTTACGTTACTTGTTATCAGTGAAATTCTGTGGAACAGTTGTTATGAAAGTAAAGAAAAGACACTCGTTAAGCGCAGATAAAGTTATAATGTGCGTATAACAATGTATATTTTAACACCAAGTGAGTTTGCAGACAAAAGGTCACAAATCTTGGATTGGAAACCTTGCTAGACACTCTTTGTCTTTCTTTGACCGGAATAAGACTCGGCCCCAAACAAGCAAGAAGAGTGAATGATTCAACGGCTAGCTTATCACTAGCACAACGATGGACGATTGCAGAAATTCGCCCAGCATCAAATTCTGTGCTGACTTATTCCCTGCTCACAGATGTCCTTCCGCTATAAAGTTTAAAATACGACTAGAACGCGCGAGCGTGAATTGATCAAACGTCCTTTTAATTTCTACGGCTTACTTTCCGGCAAATAAAATGAACCAAATGTAAAAGGTGAAATAGAAATAGCGAAAAATTAAACATCTAATTAAATCGTTTCTTATGGTTTAGAATAAACTATTCTCGAGACTGAGAATGTTTTGATCAAAGCTGTGTGAATCGAACCGAAACTGTGCATGGAACCTTGCCTTTCCTGTATTTATCTCACCTATTGTATGGAGTATGTGTGAACATCTTCATTATGAATCGGTTTATTTCAAAGAGCTACACAACAAGCAAGAATACTATTGACCTACAATATACAGAGCGGGGGCAGCTGTAGTGTCAACTATTACTAGTATAAACTCGAGAGATAACAATGAAAATCAGGACCTCACCACAAAACCAAGAAAAATAATAGCTCTTAGTCCTCATCAGTTTCCCCCAATCGTTACTCGATTACAGATAGAATCCCAGACAATGACGCTATGACTGTATCCCAGAACCTACGTTCAGAAATTCGTGAGAAGCAAAGACAATGCTGTCAATTTATTTCAGTTCTTGTTTCTGACAAGGTTTGTGCCGTTGAAGTGGACCTTAGCCTGGGGAAGTAGGCCTCAAAAGTAACAACAAGCGACATGATTAGTCAGTGGTCGTCAAGGTGATGAGACTCATTGGGAATGTCTCATCGGGGAGGGTGAAGGACCTAACAGTCACAGCCTGTACACACACGTTGTTTAATTTTTCTTTTCGATAATCGGCGAGTGCGTGAGAGCGAGCGCGAAGCGCAAGAACGAGTTCTCCACCCCTACCCCCTTGCACTAGCGGTCAATAAATTCCCAGAGAAGCTCCAAACTCCCAGTACCAAAGGAAAAGGAAAGGACAAAAAGAAATAGCAAGGAGTAGGAAAGGAGGAGAAGAAAACAAGAAACGGTTTCACCCTTAGTTTTAACAATAGCTATAACTTTGGAGATGTAACGTACATACGTCGACATTTTGCAACGTCAGCACTGGTTTCCCAGTCAAATTCCATACTGATGACACGTCACTACCCAGACCTAGATAGGGCTTCTGATTGGTCGAGCCGCGTGGGAAATTTGCTTCAGCCAATCAGAAGCCCTACCCAGATCTGGGTAGTGACACGTCATCAGTATTGAATTTCTTCGCTTGTTCTCAAGCGTCATGTCGTGGGGAAACCAGTGGTGCCGTCACAAAATTTCGGCAGTTTTCTCAGGCTAGTGAGAGTTAGATTCTTGCAGAACTTTCATTTATGGCAAAAAGCAAGTTTATCACTGTGCCAACAAGAGCGTAATGACGACGCAATGACTCCATTACCTATTTTACATGTAGCAGTATTTTTCGGCACTAGAAACTGTTCATCCAAAATCGTCAACTGTAACTTTTTCCTGCAATAGCGTTATCGAGATACCGGTATTTTGGGATGAAGTTTTTATGGTTAGAAATGCGGTAAAAAAATGGACAATCTTGTTGTTAGGCTGTTATCTGTAGAAAACGAAGCGCTTTTGACATGCAATGTCACCGCATAGTAGTTTCAATCTTTTAAAAACTTGTGTGAATTAAAGATCATGGAGATAGCTCCAGCCGATCACGCTAGAAATAAGGATTTGATTAGTATGTATCGAGGCGCTCTTGTTAGCGGTTTGTAAACATTTCAATCCCTTAAAGTCCTTTTCTTATGTAAAAAAAAAAATTGGAAAAAACACCGAGCTCAAACACCATCCTTTCGCGAGCGAACCAATCAGATTGGTTAAATCACCAAGATCACTGAGTGTGTATATATGCTATCATGATCTCATCTATAAGCATTTCTGGGGGGAGGGACATCATGGATTGAAGGATATCCAAATACAGCTTATAGACAGCGTCAGTAATATGGAGGACCTAAGACACAGGGAGGGCCAGTGAGCCTAATTTTAGACTGAACATCCTGAGCCAGTACGGCCTTAATGAGGATGATTTTTGTGGCTTCAGAATAAGCGGGCGAGACGTAGATAAAACCGTAGAAGTACCAGTCGTATTTGTTAACGCGCGCGCTTATTGTAGTTCGTTGGTTACAAGTGATCAAGAATTTTCAACCGCTTTTACAACCCTGATGAAGGATATTGAATGCAGCCGAAATATAGGTTCATCATTTTTTGCCGTCTTTGTTGATGCTGGTGGCTTGATACTAAATATAGTTAATTGCTGAATATGGGAACACATGGGCCATAATGTGACAGATTATGGCTCTTGGCTATGGGAACAAAAAAGTCCCCAAGTCGGCCTGATTTTTCTTTTAGGTCTTCCGTTAAAGACAGAAATACTGACCCCAGATTTAGTAACCTGTAAATTGCTGCTACTGAAGAGACCTATAATTTCACAATCTTTTCAGTTCAGGTTTGTTTGCAGGATTTTTTTCCTCCCTTTAAAGGTGAACTGATGCCGAAGGTTCCTAAAATTTAGTTTATAGGGAAGTAAAGAGTTCTTTTTTTTTCAGGATGAGAGTTCATGTTATTAGTTTAAATTTGATTGCTTTTATCAAAAGTATATAAACGGAGGCCTCGCTTTTAGCCCTGGCAAAATCTATATATATTATAATTTAATAAGAAGGGTAACGGCAACCTCGGTTCTCGAGCTGGGCATATTTCCATACAAACATATTTTAATTTTTACGTCATTTCTTTCCAGAAAACTATTGCGAAGGTTACATGCACAGGTGGAAGATCGAGGGAAGCTAAGGTGTATGGCAGGCTTGGCAACGCCCATCACAGTTTGGAAGATTTTAAAACATTCATAGATTTCATTGAAACTCACTTGAAAATTGCGAAAGGATTGGGTGACAGATCAGAGGAAGGAAAGGCGTATGACAATCTTGGCAAAGACCATCACAATATGAGAGATCTTAAAACAGTTATACACTATCTTGAACTTTCATTGAAAATTGCAAAAGAATTGGGTGACACATCAGGGGAAGGAAAAATCTATGGACATCTTGGCAGCGTCCATCACAGTCTAGGAGATTTTAAAACAGCCTTAGGCTACCATGAACGTTACCTTAAAATTGCGAAAGATTTGGCTGACAGATCAGAGGAAGGAAAGGCGTATGGCAATCTTGGTATCACCCATAACAGTATGGGATATTTCAAAACAGCTATACACTACTATGAACGTACAGTGATAATCGCGAAGGAATTGGGTGACATATCAGGGGAAGGAAAAACCTTTGGACATCTTGGCAACGCCCATCACAGTCTAGGCGATTTTAAAACAGCCATAGACTACCATGAACGTCACCTGAAAATTGCGAAAGAACTGGGTGACAGATCAGGGGAAGGAATAGCGTATGGCAATCTTGGAATCGCTCACGACAGTATGGGATATTCCAAAACAGCTATACACTACTATGAACGTACCCTGAAAATCGCGAAGGAATTGGGTGACATATCAGGGGAAGGAAAAGCGTATGGAAATCTTGGCAACGCTTATCGCAGTCAAGGATATTTAAAAATAGCCATAGACTATCATGAACGTCATCTGAAAATTTCGAAAGAATTGGGCGACAGATCAGGGGAAGGTGAGGCGTATGGCAATCTTGGCATCGCCTACGACAGTCTGGGAGATTTCAAAACAGCCATTCATCACTATGCATGTACACTAAAAATCGCAAAAGAATTGGATGACAGATCAATGGAAGGAAAGACTTATGGCAATCTTGGCATCGCCCATCGCAGTCTGGGAGATTTTAAAACAGCGAAAGACTACCAAGAACGTCAACTGAAAATCGCGAAGGAATTGGGTGACATATTAGGTGAAGGAAAAACCTATGGAAATCTTGGCAACGCCCATCGTAGTCTAGGAGATTTTAAAACAGCCATAGACTACCATGAACGTCACCTGAAAATTTCGAAAGAATTGGGCAACAAATCAGGGGAAGGAGCGGCGCATTACAATCTTGGAAACGCCCATGACGATCTGGGAGATTTCAAAACAGCCATACGCTGCTATGAACGTGCACTGAAAATCGCAAAAAAATTGAATAACAGATCAATCGAAGGAAAGACGTATGGCAATCTTGGCATCACCCATTGCAGTCTCGGTAATTTTAAAACAGCCAAAGACTACAATGAATGTCAACTGAAAATCGCGAAGGAATTGGGTGACATATCAGAGGAAGGAAAAGCCTATGGAAATCTTGGCAACGCCCATCGCAGTCTAGGAGATTTTAAAACAGCCATAGACTACCATGAACGTCACCTGAAAATTTCGAAAGAATTGGGCACCAAATCGGGGGAAGGTGTGGCGTATGGCAATCTTGGCATCGCCTACGACAGTCTGGGAGATTTCAAAACAGCCATTCATTACTATGTATGTACACTAAAAATCGCAAAAGAATTGGATGACAGATCAGGGGAAGGAAAGACGTATGGTAATCTTGGCGTCGCCCATCGCAGTCTGGGAGATTTTAAAACAGCCAAAGACTGCCATGAACGTCAACTGGAAATCGCGATGGAATTGGGTGACAGATCAGGAGAAGGAACCGCATATGGCAATCTTGGCAACGCCCATCAAAGTCTGGGAGATTTCAAAACAGCCATAGAATACCATGAACGTTCCATGAAAATTGCAAAGGAGTTGGATGACAGATCAGGGCAAGCAATGGCGTATGGCAATCTTGGCAACGAACACTACAGCCTGAGAAATTTTATAACAGCCAAAAATTACTATGAACGTTACCTGAAAATTGTGAAAGAACTGGGTGACAGATCAGAGGAAGAAAAGGCGTTTGGCAATCTTGGCATCACCCATCACAGTCTGGGAGATTTTAAAACAGCCATAGACTACCATGAACGTGGACTCAAAATCGCGAAAGAATTGGATAACAGATCAGGGGAAGAAAAGGCTTATGGTAATCTTGGCACGACACATCTTTGTCTGGGAGATTTTAAAACAGCCATTGACTACAATGAACGTCGCTTAAAAATTGCGAAAGAATTGGGTGACAGATCAGGGGAAGGAAATGCGTGTGGCAATCTTAGTAACGCCCTTTTTAGACTGGGAGATTTTAAAACAGCCATAGGCTATCATGATCGTCACCTGGAAATCGCAAGAGAATTGGGTGACAGATCAGGAGAAGGAAAAGCATATAGTCATCTTGGAAACTTCTATCTTAATACGGGAGATGTTAAAACAGCCATAGACTACTATGAACATCAGATGAAAATTGCGAAAGAATTAGGTGACAGATCAGGGGAGGGAATTGCGTGTGGCAATCTTGGTAACGCCCACTGCAGTCTTAGTGATTTTAAAACAGCCATAGACTACCACAAACGTCACCTGAACATTGCGAAAGAATTAGGGGACAGAGCAGGAGCAGGAACCGCGTATGGTAATCTCGGCAACGCCCATTTTAGGCTAGGAGAAATTAATACAGGCATAGACTACCATGAACGCCACCTGAAAATTGCAAAAGAATTCAATGATAGATTGGATGAGGGATTGGCCTGTTTTAACCTTGGTTCTGATTTTGAATGTCTAGACCAATTTCCAGTGGCTATTGAATATTACCATCAAGGTATTACTTTACTAAATGATGTCAGAGATATTCTCCAGTTGAATGATGAGTGGAAAATAAGCTTACGTGATCGATACCAGAGAGCATACGCCGCACTGTGGCGCTTGATGTTACTAGATGGCCAGGTTACGGGGGCTTTGCTTTCTGCCGAGCAAGGACGGGCTCAGGGTCTGAAAGACCTTATGGCATTAAATTATTCATTTAAAGGGTATGATGTGGAATCACTAAAAGGAAACGGAACATTTCGTGAGCTGTTCAGCTGCCTTCGCCTGAATACAATTTTTATGGCAATTGCAGAAAAAGGATTAATATTGTGGATTTGTCAGAAAGGGAAGGAGGTTGTATTAAGAGGAAAAGTAATCACTTCACAAGATGACATCAACACTTACTTTCAGGCTCTTGTAGAGAACATTGGTGCACGTGATAATGTGGAGTGTGAAGATCGCTCACTTGAATTGGCGAAGGAGAAAAGACTGGTTCTAAAAAGATCACCTCAGAGTTGCAGACAAACCCAACACTTATACCTTCAAGAAGAAGCATTGAGGACTTTGTACGACATTATCATTGATCCTATTCAGGATCTATTTTCAGGTGGCGAACTCGTATTCATTCCTGAAGGTCCACTTTGTTTAGCTCCTTTTGCTGCATTCAAGAGCCCAGATTCCAAATACCTTTGCGAATCATTCAGCATTCGTGTGGCCCCATCCCTCACAAGCTTGAAAATGATTGTGGAATGTCCGTTAGATTATCACCTTATCTCGGGCGTGCTTCTTGTCGGAGATCCGTGGGTGCAAGATGTGACAAAGTTACCGACGTTACCATTTGCCAGGAAGGAAGTAGAGATGATTGGCAAAATTGTTGGTTGTACGCCTCTTATTGGAAGACAGGCCACAAAGAATGAGGTGTTAAAACGACTCGGTTCTGTTGCTTTGGTGCACATCGCTGCACATGGCAAAATGGAAACGGGCGAAATTGCCTTGGCGCCAAAAAGTGGTGAGACAGATTTCATTTTGACGATGAAAGATGTAAAAAGTGCTCAGATTCGAGCAAGATTGGTCGTACTCAGTTGCTGTCATAGTGCTCATGGCGAGGTCAAAGCAGAGGGAGTAGTTGGTATAGCACGGGCATTTTTAGGTGCTGGTGCTCGTTCTGTTCTGGTGTCATTGTGGGCCATTGACGACAAGGCCACTCTTGAATTTATGAAAAATTTCTATAAGTATCTTGTGGAAGGAAAAAGTGCTAGTGAAGCCCTTAACCTAGCAATGAATTGCATGAGAAAATCCAGAGAATTTAGCGCCGTAAATCACTGGGCACCTTTTGTACTCATTGGTGATGACGTCACATTGGAATTTGATGGGAGCAAAAAGACCACTCACAATGTCGAGGTACGAGTGTTTTTTCTTTTCTTTTTTTTGTCTGGTCGTAAGGTGCCAAAAGTTATTGTAGCTCTTTTAATTGGCTTTTTTTCTTTCACTTTTAAATTTAAAAACGATAAGAGTTCATACACACAAACGTTACCGGCCACATTACAGAACACGGACGCAAACAAGAGTTACTAAATCAACACCAAGATAAGTAAAGGGGGAGATAAATGTATGAATGAACGAATAAATTAGTAGTCTAAATAAAAAGGCGCTACACTACAAATGTTACCCAGTTACATAATTAATTCAATACCTCCGTCTATTGCAATAATTTAACTGCTTTGAAATAAGATTAAAGGTTGTGACTAAAACCTTTGTGGACAAGGTTAATTTTTTATTCCTTATTGTCAGTGCTAGTCTTCGACAACAACAGTTTATTTCTACCACTGCAGATAACTAAAAGAATTTACAATAAAATAATAAATTATGAATAAACAGTAGTGGGACACCCAAAGTCACTAAAAAGCTAAACTAGTTGGGTGACCGTAATTATGACCGACTGATTTCTTAGGCGGGCAATTGACCTAAATTGCATAACTTGCATTGTTTATTATTTAAACTGCAATCGAGTAGAAAAGATTTATTATCGTTGTTTGTCGTCTCTTTAAAAAAAATAAATATTTCAGTGACAGTTATGACTCAAAGCGATTTGGGTTACAAGTTCGTTTTGCCGAACCTCTCGGAGTTTATCAGCAACATTAATTCCAGTGACACATCTGTCTTGTGGAAACGTGGCTCGGGCTTGAATTGGATCTGCTACTGTCTCGTTGTTTTTCTTCTTATTATTATCATTTGCCTCACGCTGCTACTTTTAACTCTTGTAAACCAATCCCGGCAGACTTTGTTAGTCGACCCTGATAAAATAAGGGTACTATCAGTTACTTCACTATTTTTTTATTATACTAATGTTACAATTTTACTTTGTAGGTGTGTGCAAGCTAAGAAGAACAAGGTGTTAGTAGTATTTCATTTAGCTTCTTTTAGAATATATGTGTTGCAAAGTCGTTCGATTCAGAAAACGAATTCTATTTCCTTATATTGGACAATTATTGGATTTTAGCGCTATATAAATAAAATTATTATTATTATTATTATTATTATTATTATTATTATTATTATTATTATTATTATTATTATTATATTAAGACTTAGCTCATTGTTTACCTACTCTTGTATATAATTAAAACTTTCATTTTTCTCGTTCCCGGAAAATTGAAGAATCAAAACAGATAAAATTTTTAAAGTAGTTCGAGACTTTCGTTTGCGTCTAAAAAATGGAGGGAAATTTAGCAGTTGTTATTCCTCAACCCTTGGGTTTCTTCCTTTTTACATTTAACCACGCAACAACAAGAAATTATTATTGATCCTCTTAAAAAACCGAAATGTTGAATACAGTAATCTTATCGAGTTACCGGTTTTTGGTCTGCTTAACATGGGAACAAGGCCTATGATGGTAAATATATATCTGAGTATAAATGTCTGCGTGGGGTGGGCATGTGTACAGTGGAACCTCGATATAACGAAGTCCTCGGTATAAAGAAAGTTTTCGTTAGCGTATGTTCGGTAGTGTGTATGAAAAGAACCTAGAAAAAACGAAACCTCGGTAGAGCGAACACATTTTGCCAGTCCCTTGCTCTTCGCTAACTCGAGGTTGTGTAAATTTGTCTCTTTCAATACAGAATCCGTGCGACCAAATAGTTGGGACACTCAACGACATTTCTCACGTTTTCGCGACACTAGCTTCTTCCTCAACTGAGCAGTGTTGTACTGAAACTGATGCAATCTTTAGGAAATTAATAAAACGTGCCAAATTTGTTAGAGATTGGAAGGGGGTGCCCAGAGGGTTTTGCTTTTAACTGACTTAAAACTTCGGAGATTCGAGACTTTATTATCAAATCATTTTCGAGTATAAATGTTTTCTTTCAAAATATTTTCCTATGTAAAGTTCAAATAGTGGAAGAGAGTTTACTGCACAGGAAGTATTCTTGCCTGGTATGTAGGTTTCCGCGGAGAGTTACCTCTCGTCCCAGTTAGAGATTCCGGATTCCGGAATAGGAGAAATTTTGGCTTGTAGAATGCGGGATCTCGAAGATTTTTGTTGTAGAATCCGGAATCCTAGGCTTTGGAATACGGAATATACATCTCAAGGAACCTGTAATCCCACAAACGATTGGAATCCGGAATCCAAGTTCCTCTGACTAAGAATCCGGGAATCCATGGCGTGGAATCCGGAATCCCAGACTGTCTTGGATTCCCTTACATGTTACAATACCTCAGCTTTTGTTAAAACTTCATTATGATAGCACGATCAGTTTAGCGTAAGTCAATAAACCTGATTGGGTCCTTAATGACCAAAATAGATTTTCGAAGCGTAAAAACTCCTGTTTTCTCATTTTCATTTATTGGGATGATATAAAGGGGGAGGTGATACCAATATTCCCCTCCCCTCCCTCCAGGGCCCAGTTGTTTGGAGGCCGATTGTCGCTAATCCTGGGTTAAATTTTAACCCAGGTTCTTTTTCTTTTCTTCAAAAGCATTTTTTAGGATAATTTTCTCGATTCTTTTTAGAGCATCAAATCATCAAATTGTGGACAAAAAGAATAAAACTAAATTTGCTTTTTAAGCTTTCATATCTGAAATGAAATTTTGCACTAACCCTGGGTTATCTTAACCCTGCTTTAAACAACCCAGCCCAGACTCTATAAAATATTCCAATGTCTATCTACTATTAATTAACGTTAATTTGTCCACACATTTTACGATTAAATGGTTACGATTTTCAGAATAATCATAAACTGAAAATAAAAAAGATCTGTTTCAACCCTAAAGTGCTAACTCAGCCCTTCAGACCAAAGTCTGATTCAGCCCCTCCTGGAGCAATTTGAGCACATTTAGGCCGAAACAGCCCAGTCAAGAGGCTATCCCACCCCACGCTGGAGTTCATTTCAGCGCTATGGGTCCAAATCAGCCCTACGTAATTGGACTGCATTGGCCCTGATTTAAGGGAGCCAAATTGGACTTACTGAAATGGCCCCATTTTTAGTGCTAAAACAGATCTTTTTGATTTACAGAATAGTTTACCAGTTCCTAATTCAAATCCTTAGTATTTAGGTTCCGTTGCTAAAACACTATTTTAGCCAAACTGTAGTTGTGCCGATTAATGAAATGTGTTAAAGTAAACGTTATTCGCCAGCTTTCGTTAGCTTTCGACACGAATGTTTTCTATATTCGCTGGGCCTAAAACTCGCTACAATTTTCCATCGAAAGGAAATCTTCCGTCCTGAAAAATCAATATTGATTATTCAATTTCACTTCTTTCTCTCCTTCCTCGTTCTCCACGTTAACGATTTTAATTCCAAATTTTTATTATCAAGAGAATTGTTAAAGATTTAACGAGGAGAAAGGCTTTTTTTCCACTAGCATGAACAAGTACAGGTAGTACTTGTTGATCAAAACTAATTTTGAAAGAAAAACGTTTTGCGCGAAAATAGAAAGCATTCGATGGATCAAGAGCAAATCATTATTCTTTAGTGGACACTAGTTCTAGGTATTTAAAAGTTTTATTTTAAGGACGCCAAAAAATGTCTTTTCTTGTTAAAAAGTTGTTTAAAATAAATTTGTCACTGAACACAAGAGTATTATTATTTTTTTTGCAATGAGAGTAGAACCTGTTAGAGTTACTGTTTACAATGAGAGAGCAGTTGCTCAGGTAGACATAAGAAAAATTCCGCGAATTCTCCTCTTTCGCACCAGAAACCAAACGAATTCACGAATTCTAAAGCATGCAAGCCCTCCCCCTCAGAAGAAAACCCTACAGCCTCCACACAGTCATGTAACAGACAAAGAACTGTTGCGATGAGGAACCTAATATCCTGACCCATGTTTCTCTAAAATGCGAGTGTACTTACCTCTTGGGACATTGACTTCTTTTATCCTAGAGACGTTATAGTCATCAAGACGGGTTTAACGTCTGAGACGGGAAACAGAATATAAAAAACCCTGACTCTTCCCAGTCAGTTCTGGACGAGTTGGCCATAAAAGCGTCGCACTTAACGGCGTCCTGTTTATACCAGACGCATTGAACGTAGTCTGACACGTTAAAGTCGTCCGTTAAGTGCTTCTGAACTCGAACGACGAACTTAAAAGAGGAGGTTTTAAAATCGTCAGACGATAAATGAGTCCGTCTTATTTACCATTTTTATGCTGACCTTTGTTTCGTTAAATTGCAAGTGTGCCCATCTCCTGAAACATTGGTCTCTCTTATGCTAGAGAAGTTTAATTCGTTTTAGATGCGTTTGACGTCCGATAGACATCAAATAGATTTTTAAAAAAACTGCTGTTCCCAGTCAATTGTGGACGAGTTGGGCATAAATGCGTCCCAGTTAATGGCGTCCTGTTTTTGGACCAGACGCATTTAACGTCTAAGACGTTTCGTCTGCTAAGTTCTTCTAAATACGAACGACGATCTTAGGCCCGGTTCAGATTCCGATGCTTTCATGAACCGATCGTAATACATAGAATTAAAAGTTCGGCGAAAAGTTCGGCGTCCAAATTAGTTAGGAACGCCTATTTTAATTTGGAACTGCTCAGCCGTTCTTTACGCCTAGCCCGGCGGGGAATTTCGAAGGTGGAACGGCTTTGGAACGGCGTTGTTTCAGACGCCGAACTTTTCACGTACCGAACCTAATGCATAAATTATAATTAAGTATTTTGCGAGCATTTTGGCCAAAATGAGCATTTTTATCCTTTTTAATTTAGTTCGCTTGGAATTAAGATCGGAGTCTCAATCAATTCAGGCGGTCTAAATAGTTTGGGTCGGCCTTAATTCGAATAAGGTTCGGCTCATGAAAAGTTCGGCGTCTGAACCGGGCCTTAGGGGACGTTTTAAAATCGTCAGACGTTAAAGGAAACCTCCACTTCAACAAAAAGATAACTTTAAATCACAGGAAATAACTGTTACAGTCAAGTCAATCTAAAATATTTTTAAAGAAAGCGTTTGTATCCGAAAGAAATAACTTTTAGATTCGCCTATTTTTGTTTTCAAATTTTGCGGGCGTCGCCATCTTGAATAATTGTGAAGTGTTACGGTTGCCCTATTGTTATTAAACAAAAGCTCTTTGTGTCAGAACAATAGAGCAACCGTAACACGTCACAATTATTTAAGATGGCGGCGCCCGCGAAATTTGAAAGTGAAAATAAGCGATTTTAAAATTCACTTTTCCTGATATAAACACTTTTTTTAAGGACAAATTTCGCACAAATTTGTTCATCAACATAATTTTATTCGATTTAAACTTATTCTGTAGTGCGTCAGATCTTATTTACCGGTCTTATACTATGCGTTAAAGTCGTGTTACGTCTCAGTCGAACTTTAAAGTCCCTAGCATAAAAAACGGCCGTTACCACTCATTTGTTCTGCAGTATTAATATTTTATTCGGACAATGATATTGCTATATTTGAAATCAAACTTCTTTCGATATAGAAAATTCTGAAAGCCCGTTGGCTGACTAGAGTATTGTAACCGCCAATAACGCACAGGTAGGGTGCACTGTATGACATCCTTCCCCTTAGTGAATATTCCTTCAAATCCCTTTCCTTAGAATCCTTATTTCGATTTATGTACGTCGTTGTCTGGACATTATCGAATGTTAAAGATTACATTAAATTTTCGCCGCTGTAATTTTCCTGTATATTCTCGCCATATAATAGTGAATAAACACAATGCTGACAGTATAATGATCTCAATTTTGCAATGCTTCACAAGGCTATTCGTCGTACAAAAAGATTACACATTTGACGTAAAACCTATTATATAGACGGAAAAACGCAGATGCGTCTTGCGTGACCGCGGAGTATTCACACACCCGTCTACACCCTTCCTTCCCTAGGGCCACTGTATGGAGAGGATCGTCAATAGGTTTTTGGATCCGGGATTTCTCTTATTTCGGGCTCGGAATTCAGAATTCTAAGGCAAAAACGGGGCGAGATTCGGTATTGGAAGTTTGCGCGGGAGGTAGGATGGCAAAAGTAGCCCTCGGGATTACGGGATTGAACTAAATTTTGGGTCAGGATTACGGGATTGAAGAACTCTACTCGGGATCCTCTATGAAAGTATTTGCAATAATTACTTTTGAGACTATATAAACAACTTGTTTAAAGTTAGATTTTGGCTTCTATAAAAGAAATTAAATACCACACGAATTGTTTTGTTCTCAACAATACTATAACTGTTCTATTATTTACTATGGCAAAGGCAATCCACAGAGACAACATCAGTATTACATGTTCACTGATGCCTAACTGACGAGTTAATAAGGAAGTTGTTGAAATTTCGAAAATGCAAACGTATCAAGATATTGTGAAGGTATTGTCTATATTTCATTTTCGGTTCGTGTTTATGCAGATTGAGTCCACTTTTGTTGTTCTTAAACAAAAGTGGAAATTTATGTTTCAATCCGGCCTCCACACCTAAGTCATGTTAATTTTTCCAAGATTTATATTCTGCTTTCTTAGTTTATTTTGCTTATTGGCATCAGATATTGGGAAACCACGCTTCTTTTCAAGCGCCGAACTTATTTCAGTAAACAATGGGCGACATGAAGAGCTGCTGAGAAGAACCTTACTTGCGGTTGAAAAGGTTGTAAATTTTTTTGCCCGCGAGTACAGAAACTTCAACATTGATGGAGTTTTCGGTCTTCAAGCACTTGATGGTAAGCTATAATTCTTTCATGACTCCAATAATTGACTTATGAAAGATAGCTTAAACATATCTCAAAGATAATATTAGACAACATAACACGAATACTAAATGAAATGTATTTATGTAGCTGTACGGTACGTCGAATCGAATTTAGCGTATCACAATTCTCAGATATAAACCATATAATTCACGAGTCAGTTATAGGGCTAATCGTCAGTTCATGATGGCGCTTTAAAGCTTGTCTAACTTCAACTCAGGAGTCTGTTTTATCCCGCGGGACTCGTCCCTTAGCGGGTTTAAAGGCTTTGGTATTCGTAGTAGCGAGAGTCCGTAACAGTGAGGCGCGAAAAGAAATAACTTTGAACACATTTACTCTTTATAGAGAGAAATGATGATTACCATCGACTGAAGTGTCAATCCAAACGCAGATTTATTCAAACTTACTTACTCAAACGAACTTTTTTTAAGTCTGCGAAACTGAAAAAAGGAAGAAGAGGAATTTTGATTGATACGCAATAGAATAATTCTAACCAAAACAGGACAAAAGTGAACATGCTAAACGGAAGAAATTGGTTGTGATTTTGTCACGGTGTACACGCTGTAAATCAGAAATATCTGTTTTAGCCTGAAAGATGGCGGGCCGTGGATGAGTAAAATACAGTCCTATTTTTGAGTCTAATTCGGCTCCCTCAATCAGGGCCAATACAGCCCAATTAACTAGGGCTGATTTGGACCCAAGGGCTGAAATGGGTCCCAGCGTGGGCTGGAAAAGCCTTTTGATTGGGCTGTTTGGCTTAATTTGTGCTCAAATGACTCCAGGAAGGGCTGAATCAGACTTTGCCCTGCAGGGCCGAATTGGCACTTCGGGGCTGAAACAGACCTTTTCGTTTTTATTGAATCTTCAGTGAAGAAATTGCGAGACCTTTTTTACGAGAGTAAGTACAATTTCCAATAAAGTTGTACTGCTAGAACCGAAAGAAAATTCTCTTAGGCTGTAGTAAAGAGTGTTGGTAATAACAGGTGTTTGTGTCGGTCAATCGCCTGATTTTTGCCGCGTTTCTTTTGTTCTCTGCAAGATAATACGGCTCATACTACTAGTAATTATTTTTGTCCTCCACAGGAATTCTTCAAGATTTACTAACCAAAGCAAGAAGCAATCGGATTCAGATACCTCATGACGTACTTAACTTGTTGACCGAGTTACACAAAAGGGCGACCCTAACCGCAAAGAAAGCACAACCGTTTCTAAATGCTTCTGACCCAGATTACTACAGACTCGGTTTCGTAGCGAGGCACGCTTGGCTTTTCAAAAGAGACTTTAGAGGCCTGGACACTAGCCTATCCCAGGGTACCCACTTCAGGCAGGAGGCTCGGTTTGCGGGAAAAGCTATGGACCAGTGTATCTCGGATTTGATTGGCGACCCGAGGACTGGCGCAAAACCTTGCAACATTACGGATGAATGCTGGAGATTTATTGGTAGAAATAACACACAAGGGTATATGACAACGCATCAAGCTTTGTATCTTATGGTCGGAGAAGTCAAAGGTGAATTATATTAATATTACTTAAAGAAAATCATGTTTTTTTGCATACATTTTTATTTCTAATAAACTCAGCTTACAGATTTCTAATGCAACAGTTAACTAAGGTGTTCAGGATGGTAACAATAAAAGAACGTGAGGATAGCGCTCAACCCAGAAATAAGACAAACTTAAGCGCATTGAAGATTCAGAATGGATTCCATATGCCTTTAATTTTTAACGCGTTTCTTTAATTTTACTCAGTACGCTCTTAACAAATCTTGCTTTTGCAAAGCTGTACGTCTGGCTCAGGCAAAAACTTAGCATTTGAGCTTTTTGATACCGTTTACCTGAGTGCGCATGCCTGTCATTTAATGTTGAAAATCTGGAAATATGGGTAAAGACAGCCTCTTATCCCGAAAAAAGGCTTGGCTACCAAGGCTACCCCATTTCCGTAAGCCAGAAACGGAGTCCCTGATCAGTTTTTAGTTATTAGCTCCTTTAATGCTAACACTTATATTTTTAACTTTTGCGGCTAACGCTAATTTCTAATTTGTTGACTGTTCTACGGCTAACTGTTGACGCCATTGAGACCCTCTCTCCATTTTATGACAGGTTGCCTACCGACCATCAAAGAAAGACTATTTCCATCTCACAGAAATCGAGCACATATTATCGAGGATATTTTTGAAGCTCTATGCGCAAGCATTTATCATGAAGTAAGATGGAAGGAGGCAGTCCTTAAGACCGAGGAGAGATCACGTGACACCGGAGAGAAGGACATCTACATTGAACAATGCTACGTCTGTGGTATCCTTGGATACCATAAGTTCCTTTCACTTGATAGGCTATCAACGTTTCTGCGATGGCAGCTGCCACTCGGTTGTTATGGTGAGAATGCAAGTGACCAAGGTGATATGCTCGAAGATTCTCATCAAGGACTGGTTGATAATATTCATAGCAGTGTTCTCTCCGCAGGCAGATCACGGCGGCAAACAAACCGCGATTTACCGGGTAATTTTTAAATTAAAAGCCTCTAGCGACAAACCATGACTAATCTACTCAATCAAGCATGAAAATTATCTTTTAGCTATTGACGCTATTGTAGAGTGTATAGCGAACAAACTAATCGGCAAGGGTAAGCATCAGCGAAAGATCAACCGCCGCTCGGTTAGCTAAGCTGTATGAACGGGAGCGGGAGACGAGTGGTTCAAACCCCGGCTGAACCAACACTCAGGGTCTTTAAAATAAGTGAGGAATAAGTGCTCTCTTTGTGATAACATCTGCAAACGGTTAGACTTTCTAGTCTTCACAGAATAACAGGAGAAACCGTAGGTCCTGTCTCACAAGCCTGGCACATGTAACAATTCTGTGGCACATAAAAGGAACCCACACACTAATCGTAAAGAGTAGTGGTCGTACTTCCCGGCGTAGTGGTCTATCTTAATTCCACACTCACATAGGAGGCTCCACGTGGGGAGGAGGGTACTCCGGATTTCAAGTGACGGGGATGCATATGATCGAAGGGTTTTTGGGGGTTTGAAATTTTTGATTCCGGGGATTTGTTTGGGTAAGAACATTTGGCAAGTATTTTTTCGGGTACATAAAACAATATGAAGATTCGTGATACCTTCATATGGTATGATGAATAAACAAACACAGTATTTGACTTCTAATGTTTATATTTTTCATATTATATCATTTAATGCTTTTTAAAATTTTTAAGGCTAAGAAATTTGGTATGGGATTTTTTTAGAGTTAATTTTTGGCACGGGGATTTTTTGGGGTTTTGGTTTCTGCCCCCATTCGATCTTCCACGTCACTTGAAATCCGGAGCATCCCCCCCTCCTTGGGTAGGGGGCATCATTACTCATCCCCTCATTACTTGTAAACTGCACCGTAAGCAATCTGGCAAAGCCCCTAACAATTGTTGTAAATCATCACTGAAAAGCCCTGAGGGGAGTGGATAATACGATACCGTATTTCCTCGAATAACCGTCCCCCTTTGACGGAAATACTCAAAATAATCGCCTCCCTCGAATAATCGCCCCTCCTCCGCCCCTCTCGCCATCTTCTCTGTCTTTTATCCCCTCCCTGGCAAATTGAGGTACAAGAAGATCCAGCAAAACTAATCAGTGACGATTCAAGCTCTGAAAATTAATCAAGTAACTAAATTTGGAACACTGAAAAGCCCATGTTCAGTTTATCAACGTGATTGTTTTATGATTTCATGGGAAAATAAAACAAAATATTTAGCGCACGACTTCCAGTGAGCAATATTTCAAATAATCGCCTCCCTCGAAAAATCGCTCCCTTTTTGTGCGAAAAAGAAATAATCGCCCCCGGCTATTATTCAAGGAAATATACGGTAATTATAATCATCAAAATGGGAAGAAGCCGGGTGTGAGAATGCGGAACAAGAAAAGCAAGTCAAAAGTTGTATATAGACAAAAACCATACCAAAATTATGGTCTATACGTAATAGCTAAGAAAAGAAAACTTAGGAGAGAGTATACAATTTATAAAGTGTACAACAAATACTGAGCTAACTCCATGATTTTGTTTTCTGTTTAGGTGGCTGCAAGAGACACGTCACAGGTGTAGCCACAGGTCTTCTTGGAGTCTATCTAAAGTGGTTGTTGACGTATCCTTCTATGGAACGCATGTTGATGTGAGAAAGCCCGAATAGAAGTGGAGGAGAGTTAACAAAGTGTATTATGGGAGATTCAAAACATATGTATATAGAGAATGTGTGTTGATGAGCAATTACAAACTAGACACGTACACCCATGCAAGCCACTGCCGAGAGGCAGAAAAGCAATTGATTTAGACCGCGTTTACACGAACAAATTTTTGAACAGGACAAAGTGTTTACCTGTGCAACCCGTTAACAAGGGACCGTGCAAATTCTGGTTCATGTTAACAAGAGTCAAAAGAAATGCAAATATGAATGTGTTAAATGCCCAGGAAATTAAAATAACTTCATACTCTGGCACAAGCTTTTTTGTTGCTCCTAAATACTACTAACTACTACTACCTGGACGCCCGAAGGCGGGCAACCACTAGATCTTTCCACAGCCTCTTATCAGCCATCAGTGCAGCAATCTCACTTGCTTCAAATGCACCAGTATCCCTCTTAAGAGTGTCAATATAGGTAGTATTCGGTCTTCCTCTCCCGCGATGGCCATGTGTGGGCTCCCATATATAGGACTAATTTCTGGGTACTTAGCTCTGGATGGCGATAACAGTGTCCCGCAAGTTGTAGCCTACGAGAGGCGATTTTGTTGCTGACTGCTGGTAGATCTCCGTACAGTTGCTGGTTTGGTATGTGGCTGCTCCAGTGGATGTTTAAAGCTTTTCGCAGCATCCTAGTGTATGTTCCATCCAACGACTTTTCTTGTGCTTTTGACAGAGCCCAGCTCTCGCACCCATAAAGTAAGATTGATTCGATGGTGGCTATGAAGAGTCTGATTTTCAAATCTTTACTCATATTGGACTTCCATATTTTCGTCATACCATTCAAAGCTCTCCAAGCCTGCGCTTTCCTTATGCTGATGTCTTTTTCTGAGTTATCAACCCATGACCCTAAATATTTGAAGTCATCCTTCCATTCCAGATAAGTACCATCAAATGTATGTAATGGTGTTGGATCATCAATGTTATAAGCAACTGATTTTGTTTTCTTAGCAATTATTTAATTATTTTAAATAATTATTGTAACTAAAATGAACAAATGAAGGATCCCTTATTATAACATAGAAGTTTTAGCATGCCTCTTCAATTAATGTTATTGCATGTTTTAATTCACGGGAAACGACAAAATATGAGTCGAGTAAAAGCTGAAAAACAGCTAAAAACCTTTCTATTCTTCATAGTTTTAACATTTGACAAAACCACTTCACTACCCACGCATGTAAAAGACCAATTTGTATAATGTTTAAAATTTACACTCGACTCTGAGGCTTGGTGGGATAAAAGGCCTGAGTCAGGCCTGAGTCAGGCTATTTAATTTTTTTAACTCCCCCAAGCACTGAGGCCAAATATGAATTCTATTAAATCGAAATTACTTCTATTGATTATTTGAAAAACGCTAGAGTAAATGTTTTAAAAAGAAAAGATAATTTAAAGGGAACATTGTCGAAACTTGAAAAAAAAAAACTAATATAATTTACAGTGCCCGCATACCGTAAATTCCGAAAATAAGCCCCGGGGCTTATATTTTTCAAAGGCCCTTTTTGAGGGGCTTATTTTTGAGGGGGCTCATATTCGGAGGGGCTTATCTATGGAGGGAAATTTGCGTTTCAAAACCGATTGGGCTAGCCTTATAGTTGGAAGTGAATTTACCGTTTTTGCTTTGTTTTACTTTGTATTTGAGGGCAATTTTCCAAGTACAAGCCCCCGGGGGGCTTATATTTGGAGGGGCTATTTAACGGAGGGTTTTTTGCGTTACCGGTTTGGGGGGCTTATATTTGGAGGGGCTTGTACATGGAGGGGCTTATTTTCGGAATTTTACGGTATATCAGTGAAAAGTGTCCTTTTTCTACTGTCTCGTGTTTCGTTATCAGCCCGCTGTTTGACATTTCAACGTCATTTTTTTAAACTGATATTTGAAATAATGGATTATGTTGAAGCCGTGGCGATCGATAAGACTTCCACTTCTCTTAAAAGACCTAAATTTAAACCCATATTTTCAAAAGGTTTATTCCGTTAAGAATTCCTTGCTGCGCTAGGAAGAAACGATATTTTTAATAACTTATCTCCCTGTGAAAACGTCAGGCAAAAATATTCTTTGTTAACAATGCGAACAATCTTTTGGCCCTCAGTCATTTGCGTCAAAGTGAGCTAATGACGGATGTCTTAATTATAACATAGCGGTGGTATAAACACCTGATATTTAATGAACCGGCATGTATGTTTTTAAATGCTCAGAAAGTATTTACCATTCTTTCTTTAATTAATC